CAACCCTACAGTGGTGCCTCAACTTACGAACGCGCCTACTTATGACCATTTCGCGTTACGACCAGCTCCGGCCGCAAAATTTTGCTTTGACTTGCACCCACAGCTTCCAATTACGAACAGAAAAAGGCAGAGGAAAAAGGCAGGAAATTCAATTTTCTAATTGTAGGTGGTTTCAAGGCTGCTTCTTTAACTCTTTTGCCCCAGAAGTTAGAGAGTGTGCGATTGGCGGAGGCTTCGGACTGCCTGCCCCCTCCCTCCCATGCCTCCAAAGTGGGAGAAGTTCGTGCTGTAGAAGGGGAGGGAGGGCGCTCATTCGAGGGGGCGCAAAGACACTCTTCACATGCCCCAAAGCGGCCTTCATCAGGACGTCCACAGAGAAACGGAGGAAAGGGGGGGCGATGCTCTTTAGATGCCCGCGTGGCCATCTGAGCGCCCTTGCAGTTCCGGGAAGGGCACCGCGGGGTGGGCATAGCCACGTGCGCCTCTCTCCCTCCCCGGCCGCCTCCTGCTCTTCCTCCTGCTCTTCCTCCATCCAGGCCCCAGGGAGGGTCTTCGGCCGGTTGACAGGCGCCGGGCCCCACTCGTCGTCCCCCCTCCCGGTCTGCTGAGAGGTAGGAGTGTCCCACTACTAAGCCCCGATGCCCAGGTTACACACGGACAGGGAGGTCCCCCCTGCCTCTCTCGGCCAGGGCAACAGATGATGAACACAGGCGCCCCCTCCCCTTCTTCTTTCTTCTTCTTCTTCTTCTCCCTCCGGCCTGACCCGCTGACCCGGAGCCCTGCGCGGAGGCCCTGCGATGGGGGAAAGGCCCTGCCTTACCCCGCAGCCACCCCTCCCGCACCGCCGGCGCACAAAGGCTCAGCGGCTGGAATTCCCCCCGCCCGCCCGGGTCCCCACGGCCTCGCCCAACAACACAAGCCGCCCAGCTTGGCCCGTCGGCCAGGCCTCCTCCTCGTCGCTTCCAGCCACCAGCCACCTCGCAGATGATGGAGCGGCCTCTTGAGTTTTGAGGAGACCCATTTCGGGGTGATCCCGGCTCCTCCTGGTTAGCAAACCGCAAGGAGATGGAGGGAGGAAACGGACGCAGGGCCGGTTGGCAGAGAAGGCCGTGCGCACGGTTTTCCTCCGCAGCTGTGGGTGCCCTTCTCTGGAGTTAAGATTCCAGACCCAGCCCTGCGCCTGGATCCGACCCTTCCTTACAGCCCTTTCCCTAATTCCACCCGGCCCTTTCTTGGAGGAATCGGGGCCCAGCCTCACTAAAGCCAGGTTAGATTGCCACCCCGCACTTCACCTAGGGCTGCCCTTGAAGGCAGGCCGGAAAGTCAGGCGCCCGGGCCCCTTGCTGCTTTTCCTCCTGCTGGGGTTAGGCTTTTGAACCCAACCCCATCCCACCATCACGGAGGACGCGACTCCCGCTATCTCAGCTCCGCCGCCCCGCCGCCTCGGGCTTCTCCGCTGCTTCGTGGGCCTGAGGCTGGCCGAGGAATGCCTCCCCCGCCCGGGGACCATTGTGAGCGGAGTCACTAAAGGCCCTGGCCTTCTCCGGATGGGTCCCGATCCCCATGATCGCTGCCAGGTTTCCTGTCTTGGGCGACACTCCCTCGCCCCCCCCCCCGGCAAAGACAGCTGGAGTGTGCGTCTGATTTAAAGATCTATTGCGCCCTGTGGGGTTGGGGGTTAGGGTGGCCATGCACAGGGGCTTTTCACTGGGAGAGGGCTGCTGGCCACTGGGGTTGCGCTGAAGGGTGCTGTCTGTCCTGGCAGAGGCCGGGGCACCGAGAAGGGGGTCTTTGGGGTCAGACGACAGGAGCAAGCCCTGTGCCCCGAGAAGAGGGCACCTCCCGCCCCCCCAGGCCCGATCCTTCCGGTGTTTTCCAAGGATTTTTTTCCGAGCGTCGCGGTCTGGAGCCTCAGTTGCCCGCCCGGCCAACGGGGCGCAGAAGGGCGCACGGGAGCCAGGCGAGGAGGGCCGAGCCAAGAAGGGGTGGGGGCTTCGTGAAGCCCGGCTCTGCCCCGCCCCTGACCTGCCTTCCCGCAGGGGGATCCCCGGCCCCTGCACAAGCCCGAACTTGCCTGGGGAGGGGGCGGGGCGGGTGACGTCACGGAGGCCTCAGTTGCCCGCCCGGCCAACGGGGCGCAGAAGGGCGCACGGGAGCCAGGCGAGGAGGGCCGAGCCAAGAAGGGGTGGGGGCTTCGTGAAGCCCGGCTCTGCCCCGCCCCTGACCTGCCTTCCCGCAGGGGGATCCCCGGCCCCTGCACAAGCCCGAACTTGCCTGGGGAGGGGGCGGGGCGGGTGACGTCACGGAGGGGAGGG